TAATCGCGTGCCAGTCTGGATCTGATATGTCAAGTCCTATCTTTGAGTCTGAAGGTGCACTAAATATCATTACATCGTTGTCAATGTCTTCCATTTGAGGCCACACAGGTGGCTATTGCCTATTCCTCACAGGGAGAAGGAGTCGACAACCAAAGGCAGAAAAAAGATCGACGGAGCGTCTTCAAGGCCGAGACGGAATATAAGTCGGTCAGAGGAGGGAACAGTGACGTCAAGCGCACCACGGAAGGCGAAAAGATTGCGTCGGAAGAGTGAGAATGACGATGACATCATTGGCTACCCACACAGTTGAAATCGCGCAAGGCAGGGAGAAAACAAGCCAAAGGAGAGAAAAATGAGGGAGAAGTGTGGAAAAGAAGACATGGAGGCGGAAGGGAAACGAGTCATGGGGTGATCCGACATTCGAACTCTGCTTGGCGAGAGTGTTCTTTCACACGAGGAAAGTCCAAGGGACTGGTGTGTCATTGCAACAACTTTCATTTGCAGAGATGGTAATAAAAAATGAGGTATTGCAATGTGCGAAGAAAACTCGAGTGGACGAAAAAATCTCGAAGTTGACAAAGATTAAAAGAGAAATTATTGCATCCGTCGAGGCACGAGACACATGTGTGAACTTCAACATCGGCAATTCGTGATCGGTCAACGACTGTGGCTGATAAAGCACTCATCTTGTTCCAAGCAGGGTTGCCGACCGAACAACGCGGTGATGTTCGTGCCACATTGTTTACTAATGAAGACTACACGTTTCAACACAAGGCTACTTCATCACGCGTGAAGGAGAGCATATGAAGACGACAAACAACACATGATTCAATATGCTCTTATATGGTGAATAAAGGACAACAATTGCAAGAGAGAAAGTTGTAATTTGCAGAGAGAGAGAGAGAGAGAGAGAGAGAGAGAGAGACAGACAGAGAGACAGAGAGACAGAGACAGACAGAGACAGAGAGATAGATAAATAGAGAGACAGATAAATAGATAGATAGATATATAGATAGATAGATAGATAGATAGAGAGAGAGAGAGAGAGACAGAGAGAAAAAAAAAAAAAATGCAAGGCAAAAAGTGAGAAATACAGTTTGAAACCCCTTTCATTGGTCTACTTTTGCATTCAGTTGTTGAGGCTTTGTTATTCATGCCTCCACTTCTTAGATACTTTATGTACATTATACATAAAATGATGTTGTGCAAGCAAGGAAGGGAGACAACTCTGCGATAACATGCTAAATCTTTTGTTTAGGAATGTAGTTGTACAAACTGTTGTCGTTTTGTCAATAACATATTGAAGAACGATTTTCGATTTTTTTTTTCTTTTTCCGTAGAGAATATGTTATGACCAGTGCCTGTTCTAGGGAGTGCTCGAAATAGACCGCCCTCACCAGAACGATAATCATGGTGCAATTATTTCTTTATTTTGTTGTCAGAATGAAACTGTACATTACAATCGACATTGTAAGTGTACTTTGCTCCTCCTCGTGCATCTTTATAGTGTTGGTTTCGTATACACATCATGATGTCTTTTGCTGCAACCAGCGTTGTCGAGCGGGGAACCCCGGGGGCAAAGCCGGTGTTTGGCTGCGGACCCCGGACCCCCGCCGCGGGGTTCATCCAACCCCGCCACCGCCGGACGACCCCCGCCGCCGCCCAGCCCCTGGTACCCCGCCGCCTAACCCCGCAGGCCCGCCACCGGCCCCGCAACCCC